AGAGAGAGAGAGAGAGAGAGAGAGAGAGAGAGAGAGAGAGAGAGAGACTGTAGCAGCCGTATCATGGTGTGCTATCCTACCTGATCCCCTTCAGGAATCTCCTGGATGGAAGGAAGAGGAGGAGGACAACACGTTTACAGGACAGAGAGAAAACACGTCAACAGCTACAGTATGGACACAGCCATGTAACACACACACACACACACACACACTTTGACACAGACATGGTCATGGTTTACAATGTGAAGATATCTTGAATCAGTTAAAGAACAAAACTGGAGACGGTCAGCTGAAAACCACATCTGGTCAAGAAAACATCACACAGGGTGTTTGAGAAATCTATCAACATCTGTCCGCTTAAAGGGACAGTTCAGATGTTTTGAGGTGGGGTTGTATGAGGTTCTTAAATAAGTTCAGTCAGTTAAAGTGGACACTACATTTACAATATTTTTACCCCTTTACCTTCTAAATATAGCGTACACTTAAACTGGGAGTCTGAAATACGTTTTGCAGTACATTGCTTTGCTTCCGTGCTGGTACTCCTGCTGGTTTCTACAAACTGGGGGCGTGCTGACGGCCATCTATTGCAAGTAATACACTGACTATTGATGAGTACAATCATACAATCCCACTTCAAAACATCCAAACTATCCCTTTAGAATAAAATCCATCATCAAAACTGGCAAGAAAATAGAGCCATGTTATAGTTTTAAAAATGAGCCGATTACCTAAAACCTAACTGTATTTAGGACCATATTCATATTAAAACTGAATAATAATTGCTTTTAGGAAGTGGAGCTTCAGTTCTTTATACCAGCTGGAAATAATTGAGCTGTAAACAGGTGTAAACAGGAGCTTAATGAGTGTGAAGGTGTATAAATGTGCAGGGCTAAAAAACAAAACAAAAAAAAGGAAAATGAATCCTTGAAGAAAGTCATTAAAATTTAAACAGTAAACATTTTTGAGACAGCCGTATATTTACCAGAAAGTGACCGATAACGAAAATAAATTCAAGCTCTGCACTCCATTACACACGGCAGAGTCTGTTGGATTGCTTTACAGCACAAAACAGGAATGTTATGAGGGACATTCTGCCTAAAGCTTCCAGTTTTTTGAGTAACTGGTGAGAGTAACACCTTCTTTGTGGAAATAAGTTCTGGAGTTTATGCGAGATGTGGTCTCAGTATAAAGAGGACCCGGGACCAACACTATCAGATAATGTTGACCTCGTTCTCTGTGATGACACAAAGTTAAAACACTTAATTTGATACTCACACACTAATATGTTTTTAAAAAAGACGCTGCGTGCAATCCATCAAGGGGGACATTAATAAAGTAATGCAGTGAAGGCGTTTAAGGATGCAAAGCAGTGGACAAGCATGAGACCATCTCCAGCATATCACACAGGCAAGCTGGTCACAATCATTCTACTATTCAAGATTAAGTTCTCTACATCCCAGAGAAGCTCGTTTTAAAGCCTGTTATATAAGCCCGTCTGAAGCAGGAAGGTTCAACATTCCTCAGGAGCTAAAAATATTTCCCCGAAAACTCTAGAAAACTAAAATCCTGCAACATACAGACGGAAATAGATTAAGTCTTACCGTCAACTCTGTGTGTGCTTTCTTTCATGACTTCACTGCATATCACAGCAATGAATAGAAGTGAATGGCACTAATACAAGAAGGATTGGCATTTACTGAGCCTCAGACTTAACGAGTGTGTGAGAATATTTTCATTAATCCTCCGATCTACCAACGTCCCTGTGCTTCACTTTTTTTAAACATGCATGATTTTAAATGACATTAGTCTTCATGCCAGCACTGTTAGCAAACACTATGTTGAGTGGGGCAGTGTATCGAGCTTCAAAGCTTATGAATAAGAAACAGAAATACTGCGTATGATGCTTGGTCTTGTTTCCAGTTATGGAATGTAACTACATTCAGTCAAGTACTGTACTTAAGAGCATTAAATGGAAATAGTAAAGTAACTCAGAATTGTACTTAATACTTCTGATCCACTACATTTTTTAAGCCAATATTGTACTTTTTAGTCTTTGCAAATTCTGATTGATAGTAAAAAATTATAAATTAACTAATATGTTTATGGGTTTGTTGCCTAGAAACTCCAGCTATAATGGTCAGTGACAGTGCCATGCTAACTGAAGTTTAGCATACACTATGTTGCTTCACATCACAAGCATTTAAAACTGACAGGTAGACAAACATAAGAAAAAAAGCACAGACTGGTGCAACAGAGGTAACTGTGGAAAGATAGCTGCAAGAAAAATACACATACAAACACTTACACACACCTTACAGAACTACAAGTATAGTAGTTTGTAAGAACAGTGAGTTGGGGGGGAAATAAGCACACAGAATGTCAACAAAAGAGAGTAATGAAATACATAAATAACAGCATTATTAAGGAGCAGAACGCACGGAGATAATGCACAAATTAATACATCTTCAACTACCACAACACACACAAAAAAGATTAGAAAAGAAGTGTTACTGACCTGGATGACTCCCTCCATCATGCTCACCATCTTGTTGACGATGGCGATGACTTTGTGCGTCCTCTCAGAGGGCGACATGTCGGGCCGGTAAGACGGCGACAGGACGTAGCGACAGGCCATGTACAGGACGTAGGTGGGCGACAGCTTGAAGTGCACCGTGGAGCTGTTGGTGTAGTTGATGATGGCTGACAGGAAGGTGTCTTCAGCTGGATGGACACACAGAGGATCAGACTTTCAGACCACACAGATATTTTTCTCGCACCACTTCATACAATGTGCGTGCATCCCGTCATGCTGTTGTTAAAGCAGCTGGTAGGTCATCCTTTCTGGCGACATGAAATATGTTTTACTTTGACCAAAGGAATCCTGAGGATATCAGTGTTTCACAACATCAATGGATGATGTTCCCAGATATTAAAGAATCAGTTGTCTGACAGAATCAACTTTTGGAGAAACACCACCCGACATCAAGCTGCGGTGGCCAATCACGCAACCGGCAATCAGACCGGGAAGTGTGAAGTTATGTTGCATTTGTAGTCCCTCAACTTGGCCTTGTGCACCAGTTTTAAACCCAATGTTTTGATAGGCCTCGCATCCCGTTTAGTTAATGAAAGTAAATGTGTTTCTTTTAAATCTGACAATGCAAACAGACTATCATTTGAAGGACCCGGCATACGGGCGAAAAGCCATCACACAAATGGGCCATTTGAGTGACACTCCCACACAGCTGGATTTGGTGTGAGTGCAGCCAGAGAATAAGAAATGTCTACTCCAGCTTTAGCAGTTTAACCCCAAAACAGCTCATCTGAAAACAGGCAACTGTCAAATTGAGCTTTGGTTTAGCCACACTCCAAGTGCTCAATTTATCATCTTTAAACATAAAAATATTGACTGCGTTATCTCGGTGCAATTACAGGAAACAAAGCCTTCAGGCTTTAAAGTGATCCAGCTGATTTCCTGCCAAATACGAGTGGACTCATTTTCTCTCCTTCTGTTTATGGAAGTCATATTAATGTCTCAACATGAATAATGTCTTCCAGAGGTCACCAGGCCTCCCTGTACAGAGCTGTAAGGAGGAACAATACACTAACTCTGCATTGGAAATGTATACAGACCGCAGGCTGACCCACATTTACTATATTCTTACATTTACCATGTGTATGTGTGTATAAATATATATATATATATACTGTATATATATGAGACATTACTTGCATACCCCTGCTGCTAGAGCAGTTGGGTCAGCAGAATCAGTCCAGTGCGTTGTAAAGAGGGTTCAATAGTTTCCAGCTATCGACTGTTTCACTAACACGGCGGAACAGAAAGAGAGACGCTAATACTTACAGTTGTCTCTGAACTCGATGCCGGCTGGCAGAGTCAGCTCTGGTCTGTCTACTGAAACGTCCTGAGACCTGATGAGACAAAGTGGCACCATGAGGGAATACAACATGAAGAACAGAGATTGAGGAGAGGACTGGAGAGAGGATAAAGATGGATGAAGAAGTGGGTCTCACCTGCTGTCCTGCTGCTCTCCTCTGATCATGGGTTTGACCATGCCGCGCTCCATCTCTAGCTTCCCTGAGCTCTGCACGCGCACACACACACACACAACACAGTGTCAAGCAGCTTCGTCAACATTTAATTTCACTGTACAGATGTAGAAGACTCGTGTGTTATGAAGCTTCAGTCACACTCTTAGAACTACTAACAAGCAGCTTACACAACATGCAAAGAATGCTGCTTTTACAGTTTCCTGGTTCTCCAATGGATCAAATATCTCTATTTGTTCTATAAAATCAACACTAGCATGTATAAAATAGCTTTTAACATATTGCAAACATACATAGAGGTGCTGACAATTGATATGTCATCAAATATTTAGTTTTAGATATACGTGCCTAGAGCTGCAACAATAAGTCGATTAATCAACATTAGTATTTAGATAATCAAATCTGTCAAACATTGATACACAAACGCAAAGATATGCTGTTTTATATAATTTTATTAAATCTCTTTGATTGGACAAAAACATTTGGTCGACAAACAATTAACTGATTAATCAAGAAAGTAATCAGCAGATTAGTCAATATGGTAAATATATTGTTATGTGTGTCACCGTGCATTACCATTATAAATTACACATAAGTATGCAAGTTCTCGATTCATTTTAGTTGGAAAAAAGAGCTATGATGCACCTTTCCTTCTTTTTCTCTCCTGATTTGTGTGTGTGTGTGTGTGTGTGTGTGTGTGTGTGTGTGTGTGTGTGT